CATGTATGAGAGAAAGGAATGAGAAAGAGAGGGACTCTGTCATTTCTACTTCAGAACCATCTTCCTGCTGAGTACTGTTCATTCCTTCGTTTACTCATGCTGTTCAGTTCATTATATTTACTAGGCATTAGAGATGGAGAAAACCAAGCGTCCTCCACATTGCCAGCCTCTGGCTACTCGTTCTCTTACACTTGAACTTTTGATCAGGTAATTCTCAGTGTCAAACATAAGGCTCTTCCAAGGAATAATTTTAAATATATCCAGCTTTGTCAAAGCATAGCTGAAGCGAATAAAATAAGATTCATGGACTTCATGCTTAATAACATTTATATAAATCTCTCTACTCTCCTATACATTACTATATATTCCAATATTCACTATATCTTTGTGCCTTTGACTATAGATATAGGTGCCTTCGACTTTACATTAGGTTTACAGTAGCTACACACTAACTACACACTTCACAGTAGCTAACATCTGTTAGTGTGAGGAGGAAAATCCATTAATTACATGCTCATTCTGAATTCACCTACTTCTTAAAATAAGATATTTAATTTTGAACATATTCCTATATTTCATTAAAAATAGGAATGTATTTTTTATTAAATTCCTAAATCTCACATCTCAACCCATGAGGACAAGCTTGCCAATCTTTCAAGTACTTACAATGGAGAAATGAAAATTTAATCAGCCAAGAGAATGAAATCATAAATAAAAATGTTAAATCTTTCCTGTTCTACCATTTAGCACTCAGTCTTTTGTAATAATGTACACTTTTTAAATGCCATATATAAAACTGGAAACCTCCAGAAGAAAGACTTAGTATCTATCATATATTTTAGAAATACATAAGAGAAATAGGCAAAAGTGCATGTCAAAGGAAAGATGTAGCTTTTTATTTATTTATTTTTTTTTTTTTTAAAGATTTTATTTATTTGAGAGAGAGAATGAGATAGAGCATGAGAGGGGGGAGGGTCCGAGGGAGAAGCAGACTCACTGCTGAGCAGGGAGCCCGATGCGGGACTCGATTCCGGGACTCCAGGATCATGACCTGAGCCGAAGGCAGTCGCTTAACCAACTGAGCCACCCAGGCGCCCCAAGATGTAGCTTTTTAACCTTACCTTCCCAACGTTTCAACAAAACACAAGTTTCCATTAGTGTTCTCCCAAATACGCCTTCTTTTTTTTATTTTTTCCTCCCTTTTAATTTTTGAAAGTGATGCTGAAAATTTTGTTTAGTAGTTTTCAATTTAAAAAAATTAAACTGCACCATCTTATTTGAATGGAGATTAAAAAACTGAAAAATTTGAAAACTATGAGTTGCTTTTTTGCAGATGACATATTTTCTGTCAACTTCCTCTATTTCTTCATGAGTCACACCATACTTTAGTGTATAAATAAATAAAACATTATGAAGAATATTTCCAAAATATTTTTAAAGCCAGCAACCCCACACTCACAGTAAAAGAGCTGAAGGGAAGCAAATTCTTTTGCATTATCTCAGGCTATTCTGCTTTATTCATGAGCGTTATGAAGCCCCGAAAATAAAGAACAGTTATTGTCTGCACTGTGACAAAGCCAACATTCCTCTTTGCAAACAGCACCACATATTTATGAACAACAACAGACACAGAGATACCAGCTTGTTCCTTTTAGCTTATAAAATGCTCCATCCTGTATGAATGACTACACTTAGGATATAATGAAGCCCCAGGTCATAATTACGGACGCTTCCAAAAACAGATTTTTGCTTTGTTGTTTGTTGATTTCCTTAAAAATCTGATTGAGACAAACACAAATAAATTCCATAAAAGAAAAATAGAAGAGTTGTCCCAATAGGCTGAATCCAACTCTACTGGTATGTACCTTCCAGGGCTAAATTCCAGAGCTGAATGTGGACTGTACAGGCATAACCTTCTGTCTTCTACCACAAGTTGCCAGCACTGTTTCCTCCCTCCCTTTAACAATTTCTTCATCTCACAGTAATGTGCCTGCCCACTAAATCCACAGACCCAAGTGATCATTCCCACCGGCCGCATCCAAGGGATTGCTTCAAAAACAGGCTTCCACGGGATTCTATAAAAGCCATGAAAGAAGGAACCATACTACATCTAGACTGCCAACCAGTCTAAAGTCTTCTATAACCCAGAATACCAGTTAAAAAAAAAAAAAAAAAGAACAGGTTAATACTGTTGGAGCAGAGGACATAAATGAACTATTTAAAAGTCAAAATAAAAACATAGCAAAATCTACTTACATCATTTGAGAAGTGAATTGATTTCCCCATTAAATTTCTCTCAAGCACAGTTTCCCAAAAAAATGTGTTGGCTTCTTTCTTCTTAGAAAAATAGACTGAATTGTTTTCAGATATTCTGATGGCACAGAAACTAGATGGTAGGCATTTTACTTATTGATAAAGGTGCCTGCTCGATTATGGTACAGTAAATGTGATTTCTCAAATTGCTTTCAGCATATATATTTAAGCTTGTTTTTATGGACATAAGCCTAAAGCTACTTACTCTATTTATTAAATTAAAAGCAGGTAAATAAGAGAACGTGTTCCAGTAAAGTTAGCCTTTAGGCAAATTTCTTCTCAATTTATCTTGCCTTCTCAGGATTCTTAAATAAAACTTGACATTTCACAAAGGCAGAAAACAACAATTTATAACAAGTCATATTTAAGAAAGTTCCTACCATTTTCATCTTTCATGATTAATATTTAAGTAAACAGCAAAACTCAACCTATTGAATACAACACAATGTATTAAAGAGAAAATTTTTTAATGTATATAAAATTACCTGACACTCTGGTAGATAGAGACAATGCCATGTATTTCTATTACTTAGTTGTCACCAAACTTTTAACAATATCCCCAAAATTTTTCAGCAGCCTGAACCCATCTTAAAAATCTAAATAATTCAGGTTTTGTATTTTTCCCAGTCATTTGAACTTAATGTATTCTCTCTATATATACATATACATATATATACACATATATATACATATATATATTTTTTTTCCTAAGTAGGCTCCACAGCCACCATGGGGGGCTTGAATTCATGACCCTGAGATCAAGAGTTGCATGCTCTACCAACTGAGCCAGGCAGGCATTCCATAATGTACTCTATCTCTCTATCTTGATCAATTTATCCAGCAAAGTGTGAAAGGTTACCGTACCTTTGAAGGCAGAAGAAAATGTTCCACGAACATTCAGTGAATGCCCAAAAATTAGCAACTGATGGCACTTTCTTTCACTTCTATAGTTAACACTGCTATCCAAAAAAGTTGGCTTCTTTGGTCATGGTTTTCTTCGGCCAAATATTCTTACTTGAAGGGATTTAGTTTCGACATTAAAAGTTGAGAAATCATAATGAAGCTTTCCTACTCAAAAATCTTTAATGACTCCCAAACTCAAGTTGATGCTTTAGGTTTCCTTCCATGTGAGTCCAGCTCACCTTTTCAAGCATATGAATCTCCACCACACTCCCCATCCCTGTTCTGGTCAAACTGATTTATTCACTGTCCCTTTATCGCTACAATGTATTATCCATATTGTGCATGTTTTCATTTTCATGAGACAAAATCATTATATCACTGTGTGTGTGTAGTTAAAAGTCTTCTGGTTCTGGTTCAGCCAGTTGAAATCACAAATTTTTGCTTAAAAAGGCATATCAATATGTTTTCCTCCAACAATTTCACATGAATATATCCCATAACAGAAATAAGGTTGTTTCTAAGACATCCAAAAAAAAAAAATCACTAAAATAACATCTTAAAATCTGACAAGTCAGTTTCCACAAAAAAAAATCAATTCATCATGAACTACATTTCATCTTAACTTAAATTTTATCCTGATTTATTGTACTTATTTTATTTAATGAGCATAGTTTTAAAAATTAATCAGCTTTGTGCTTTAGTTATGCATGTAAACAAAGCACAAATTATTTAAATAGATGGACATTAATATACTTAAGAAAAAGGAATACTAACAGAAGTTATATTTTGCTTTGAACAAAAGTAATAAATTTGTGAAAAGTAGTGTAATCTAGATATTTTCATTCTAATCATATACAGAAAAGCTAATGCTTTATAAAAGGAAAAATAAATTAAGCTATTTTATTGTAGTAATAAGGAATTTTATAGAGATGATGACTAAAATAAGAAAAAGATCATCTATTTTCCAATGTGCCTTGTAATTTTATAACCCATTAATTTTATTTCTGAACATACTGTTTGAATTAAGGTTGAGTTCTGGTCTTAGCTGATCCTTAAATATCTAATTAATATATCCTATTTTACTGTTTATCAGACTTGTCTGCACTTTGATATATTACATTGGTGTTCTTATGAAAACCACATGAGGTAGCAGGGGGAAAAATTAGACAAATATTTCTTCAAATCGGGCGCCTGGGTGGCTCAGTCGTTAAGCGTCTGATTTTGGCTCAGGTCATGGTCCCAGGGTCCTGGGATCAAGCCCCGCATCGGGCTCCCTGCTCAGCAGGAAGCCTGCTTCTCCCTCTCCCGCTCCCCCTGCTTGTGTTCCTGCTCTCACTGTGTCTCTCTCTGTCAAATAAATAAAATCTTTAAAAATATATATATTTCTTCAAATCATATTTTTAAAAACAAATCTATAACTATACAGTTAAAAGCAATGAGATTTTATTTTATGGAATACTTTACTAAAATCTAATAATTATGTCCATACATGTTGAAGTAAAACTGTAGGTCAGAATACTGGGGGCCCTGGAAGGACCCTAGAAGGGCATATATTTCCAAGGACCATTTCACTAACGTAAGTTTCCCCAGTCCAACTCAATATTTATGCCCAAGGATGACCTCGGAAACAAGTTCTGAGGGTTAGAAGAAGCTAAAACTTCACTTTATACCAGAATAATGGTATGCAAAGACAAGTAAACCCAGCCAATTTTCCCAGTATAATAATAAGAGGAAAACTGCCTAACAAGGCTTCTCCTTACTTTCAGAAATCAAGATACATTTACCTTGAAAAGCCGCAGCATTTCGCGATATTAGAAACTTTAGCGTCGAGCTGGACGTTTGAAGCACTTGCTGCATATCGTGGCGAGCTGCAATCTGGTACCTCTCCTCCATCTTCCTGGTGCAACATGTAGGTTTTTTGGATATGCAAACCTGAAGATCGGGTCCTGGAACAAATACAGTATTTTTTAGAATAATTCCCTATTCATTTAACAAACATCACATGTTACATGTCAGGCATTAATCATCAGTACTGCATATAAGGGGCTCACGTTCTATGTGAGAAACTGATTTACCAGAGCAATTGCCATTAAAAAACATATATAAAAATATATATGAGTGTTGCCCATTAACACAACCATGAAACAAAATATTCTAAACCGTTAACTCTTTGCTCAACTATTTTCTTAACATATTAATCAAATATTATGTCCACTCAATTAACTAATTACTATTAACAACAACTAGACATATAATAGAAAACACACTATTATATAAGTACAGAGCTAAATCAGAAAATTTTTATTTTTGCTTATTTTGTTAATTCAGCAAAAAGTATTTGATCTACTTATGTTTTACAGAAGTATATGGGCTAAAACAATTATTTTTCCTGAGGGGAAAAAAATCAAATTTTGTACATCAAATAAAGATGACGCTTCAGCTGATTTCTTAGCTCCCCATAATGCTCGTGCTTCTTGTGGAATAAGTGATTATCAGCAATAACAATGTAATGGGGGATCTTGATCCCCATGGGCCAAACCCACCATCTGAAATTCTACTCATTACCTAGCTTGCTAGAGACAATTCCTACCATTTAAAGTACTTTTTATTTTTTTTAAAGATTTTATTTCTGGGGCGCCTGAATGGCTCAGTCGTTCAGCGTCTGCCTTCGGCTCAGGTCATGATCCCAGGGTCCTGGAATCGAGCCCCGCATCCAGCTCCCTGCTCAGCGGGAAGCCTGCTTCTCCCTCTCCCACTCTCCCTGCTTATATTCCCTCTCTCGCTGTCTCTCTCGCTATCAAATAAATAAAATCTTTAAAAAAAAATTTAAAGACTTTATTTCTTTATTTCAGTGAGAGAGAGAGAGAGAGCATGAGCAGGAGGAGGGGCAGAAGGAAAGGGAGAAGCGGGCTCGATGCGGGACTCGATCCCAGAACCCTGGGACCATGGTCTGAGCCAAAGGCATAAACTTAACCCACTGAGCCACCCAGGCACCCCTTAAAAGTACTTTTTAGTTTTACAACTGTATTCAGAAAACTTCTGGGAAGATGCATATTAGATGAAATGTGAAGTTATTATATATATGTTAATAGTTGTGGTTAGAAAAATGCTAATATGATTAACAACTCTCATCCTAGATTAGCTAAAACCTCATGTTATACCAGAATAATACACAAATACAAAAAAAGTAAACCCAATCAAGTTTACCAGTACAACAATAATAGGCAAATTACAGAACAAGACAGGGCAGGCACCTTTATACACAGCAGGTGTGCTAGAGAACGGAGAAGTAAAGGGGCGCAGTGTGGATGGTGCTATGAAGGATAACACTGATGGGGCATCATGGTATGAGCCCCAGGGCATCCCAAGGCCACTCAGGTTTTATGTAAAGTTCAGGATAATTTTATTTACAAGTCCTAACAGAATACATTATTTCCTTATTTTAGGGTAGGAAAAATGTGGCCTTATTGATATCTGGGGAGTTTCACAGCACCCAGGTTAGCTCTTCACTGACCAAGAGAAGATCAGCAAATACAAAATATCCACGTGCGCACGCGTGTGCACGCGCGCGTGCGCGCGCACACACACACACACACACACTGTCAAATTCCCCCCTTGTCGCGCAGAGTCAACCACAGGCCTTGAATTCCAAAAGTTGGTTCTGGGTAAGCTCAAAACATGTGAAATCAGTCTGAATTTCCTGCCAACACAGGACACCAAAATTTCTAATGATTTTGGCTTTGGTTTGTTTAAGTTAGACAAGTAACAAATGACAGCATTTGAGCATTTCACAAAGGCGAAGAGGCATAAAATATTTATGTGTGTCACAGCAGGTAATATTTTGGCAATTGTTTTTCATTTATCTTGCCTAAAGTTATACAAAAGCAAATTCCACTTCAAATAGTAAAGCTGATTGAAAGAAAACAAAGCTATCTTTTCAGCTTTATTCCTAAATGGAAGGAATGAGGAATTAAGCATTCAGAGAAGAACAATAATAGAGACTGGAGGAAAGAATCAATAAATAAACATTAATGTATATTACATATTTAGTATGCAAAGGACTGCTAAGGAATAAAAATAATAATAATAACAATAGGGGCGCCTGGGTGGCTCAGTCAGTTAATGGCTGACTCTTGATTTTGGCTCAGGTCATGATCTCAGTGTAATGAGATCTAGCCCCTTGGGGGCTCCATGCTCAGTAGGGAGTCTGCTTGAGATTCTCTCCCTCCCTCTTCCCCTCCCCAAGTAAATAAATAAATCTTTTTTTAAAACCCAAAAACAACAATAATAGATTTTTGCAAATGTCTCTCCAGAATTCAAACACCTAACATGGTTTGCTAGACCACATTCCTAAACATAGCCTAGAAAGGCCCCCAAGTTGTGACCACTCGTTCCCTCCTGCCTGCTACAGCTTCATCTCAGGTAACACTGCCCATTGCACCCTTCCCTTCACACACAGGCCTCTTCAGTTCTTTATAGTCAGCAAGTACCCTCTTGCCTCAGAACCACTCTCCATGCTCACCTCTCTGAATGGGACACTCTCATCCTACATGTGCTCACCCACACATGTGGCAAACACACACCTTCTCTTAATTCATTCCCATCTATTTTTCTTTACATTTGAACTCGGTATTCCCACAGGAACTTTCCTTAATCTTCTAGACAGCTCCTCTCCCTATTATATGCCCCTGAAGTGCTTCGTGCCTCTCTATTGCATTTATTGTGGTCGCAACGTTATATTCCTTCATGTGATTGCTAATTAATCAGTCCCCTCATCTAACTGTAAAGCTCCAAGTGAAGGAATTTTGCTCATTTTTAAAAGATTTATTTATTTATTATAGAGACGGAGAGCATAAGCAGGGGGAGGGACAAAGGGAAAGGGAGACAAGCACACCGCCCGCCGAACATGGAGCCCAATGTGGGGCTCAATCCCAGGACCCTGAGATCATGACCTGAGCCGAAACCAAGAATTGGACACTTAACTGACTGAGACCCAGACACCCCAATTTTTGCTCATTTTTATATCCCAGTTGACCAGTACCATGCCTAAAAAATCAGACACTCCATTTTTATCCATCAAACCAATAGTTGAGGATCCATTGTATACATACATTATCTCACTTAATCCTCACATTAACTTTATGGTGTAGGGACCATTACTATCACATTTTACATATGAGGAAATGGAGATAGAATGAAAACTGCCCACTGTCACATACCTATGCACTCCAAAATGGTGGAGCTGGTGTTTGAAAATTGGCAGTGATTCCCAAACTGTCTTCTTCACCATCACTCTACTGAGAAGAAGGCTGTAGTAAATCTATAAATAGTTCGTCTACAAACATAACTGGCCATTTTTGATTCTTGTTTGGATTCTTCTTCTTGAAAGAAGTCATCTGTTTGGTCAGTTGCAAGAAACTAAATTTTTGGTTAGGAACCATCCAAGGAGTTTTACTCAAAAACAAAATAGGCTAGGGCGCCTGGGTGGCTCAGTTGGTTAAGCGACTGCCTTCGGCTCAGGTCATGATCCTGGAGTCCCGGGATCGAGGCCCGCATCAGGCTCCCTGCTCAGCAGGGAGTCTGCTTCTCCCTCTGACCCTCTCCCCTCTCATGTGCTCTCTCTCTCACTCTCTCTCAAATAAATAAATAAATAAATCTTTAAAAAAAAAAATAGGCTAAAACATAACATTATAGAGTTGCCATTTGCGCTTTCACCCAATTTTAAATGGTGGGAAGTACAATTAGAAAGGTACTACAAGGGGTGCCTGGGTGGCTCAGTTGGTTAAGCACCTGCTTTCCGCTCAGGTCATGATCTCAGGGTCCTGGGATCAAGCCCCACGTCCAGCTCCTTGCTCAGCCCTCTCCCTCTGCCCCTCCCCACCACTCATGTTCTCTCTCTCTCCCTCTCTATCTCAAATAAATAAATAAAATTTTAAAAATAAACACTTAAAAAAAAAAAAGAAAGGTACTACTTGACTGCTATCTTAAACATAATGTGGGAGAGAACCTATCACGTCTCACAGCTGAGGAAGCATGGACAGCAGTGTAGACCACTCAGGAGCAAATACATCCCTCGAGTTGATGAGGATCTACATTGGTTAATCCGGACTTTCATTTAGAATCTTGGAAGTTGATAATGACAACGTAACACTAAACTCCAAACCAAATCAGGACTGTAAATTCAAAGATCTAGTTATGTTTAATTGGCACAATATGTTCATCGGTATTCAGAGTTGGGGTAGCAGCGGAGGGGAAGAGTCCACAAGACACTGTTCTCTGGCTTCCTACTGCATCAGTCCAAGAGACAGACGAGATGAACCAAACACCCTCAGGGCAAGGACCGTATCTTACATTTTGCTCACAGTATAAGCACAAAGGACATAATAGGCTGCTTGTTGATAAAACACCCGACAGGGGAGGCTACAGTTCCCCCATCGTAAGCAGAACAAGCATCCTAAGAAAGCAAAGCCAGATGGAGCCCAAACAGACACCATGTAGGTAACAAGACTTATTTTTAAAATATTTCAAAGTCTGGCTTCAAAGATCATGGCATGACTAAGGATGCTATGAAACAGCAAGAGGACATGACCCAGGCTCAGAGGCAGTAATCCTGTTTCTGAATGAAAAAATCAAGCTCTTCGAGAATTCAATTACTAAAAACGAATGAAATTAAAAATAAAACAGCAGGCTCCTCGTTGAAGGGACCTTCAACCAGAATTTTGGGGGCTTTTCCTCTTCTCTCATCCAGAAGTGGCAGTATTGGTGAACATGTCTTCTTTTCTGTTCTCCACCTGAGAAACTGTTAGAGCCATCTCCCTGCTTATGTACGATTTTTTTTAAATGTGTTAAAATAGTAGCACTGGGAGGCATTCTGGAAAGATGGCAGCCCGTGAAGGCATGGTTTTCACTATCTCCAAATCCCCAGATGACCCAGATGGAACAACTA